CATGTTTTCCACTTCAGGCCACACAAAAGATTATCCATCATCCGCTCAAATGTTGCGGGCGCGTTGCAAAGACCAAAAAGCATGACACAGAATTTGTAAAGGCCATCAGGTGTGACAAAGGCCGTCTTAGACTGATCTTCAGGTACCAGAGGGACTTGCCAGTAGCCACTCCGTAGGTCAATAAAAGAGAAGTACTCCGCACCTTGGAGGCAGTCAGGGCATCGTCGATTCTCGGAAAGGGATAAAGGTCTTTTCGAGTTATTTAGTTAAGACGACGGTAGTCAACACAGAAGCGAATTGACCCGTCCTTCTTCTTAACGAGAACGACTGGAGATGCCCAAGGGCTATTCGAAGGCTCGATGACGCCACGCTTGAGCATGTCAGATACTTGGTCATCGATAACCTGGCTCACGGTTGCGGACACACGATAGGGTCTTTGACGCAATGGCGCATTGGTACCCGTACTGATGCGGTGACACACAGTGGACGTGTGGCCGAGGGGAGTATGCTGGAAGTCAAAGGAAGAATGGAACTTCTCCAGCAGTCGTAGAAGCTGAGCACGTTGCGAAATGGTTAACGTGTCGGCGATGGAGCTGCTGAGTACGTCAGGCCTAGTAGTCTGTGGCGAAGAGGCAAAAGTCATTCCGGCGCTTTCGTGTTTGGCGGAAGGGCCAGTCAACATATCAAACATTGCAGAAAGGTCGAGACTGTAAACCAACCCGACGCACTCTCCCCAAAGTAGTGTTACAGGACATGACAAGAGGTTCGAGATGAGCAGTCTGCTCACGCCGTCATGAAGTTCTAGAAGGGCATTAGGTAGCGGCGAACACTTGTGGTGAACGAAAAGGGCAGATGGCGTGAAAAGGGCACTCGACTCGGCGAGCGAGTTGCAAGATACCATGGTAAGGGCGAAAGAGTGCGGCGGTATGATGACGTCTTCAGCAACAAATAGTTTGTCCCCGGTTTCAAGAGCATCATTTAACGGCGCGTCGCCGAACACTTCAAATTGTACCTAAGTGCGAGAGCAGTCGATGACGGCCTTGTTAGCGGAGAGAAAGTCCCAACCCAAAATGAGGTCATGGGAGCAAGAATCCAAAACTAGTAATTCAACGACATAGATGAGGCCACCAATCGCGGTGCGAGCTGTACAGGCAGCGGCTGGCGTGACGTGCTCTGCGCTGGCTCTACGAAGTGATATACTTGCTACTGGCGTCATAACTTTTTTGAGCAAGCGGCAGATCTAGTCTGGCACTGATCACTGAAACTGCGGCACCAGTGTCGACAAGAGCGAGTGCAGCGACGCCGTCTACATGTACGTCCAGAACATTCGTTGGTGAAGTGAGAGGCCTTGGTCTTTTCGCGGGCGACGCAGTTCCTGCCTCTGGAACTGCGGCAATCAGTTTTCCCGCTCCGGCGATGAAGGACGACGACGCATCGGGTATGGCGAGCGGAGTCGAGGTGATGACGAGCGACGGTTAACAGGAGGGCGGTGGTCGGCGTATGCTGACATCTGGTCAGGAGGCTGAGATCCTGTGAACGAAGGGCGCGGTGGCACATAAGGGGCAGGTTTGAAGCCCTGGTGGTAGCTCTGGTGGTAGACAGGCACGCGTCGATGGTAGTATCGCGATATGTGGCCAGATAGGCCACAGGCAAAGCATATGGGCTGATTGTCGACTGTACGCCATTGTCCACTACTCTGGGGGGACCTTGGCTGAGCGAACCGAGGAGTAGTAGGTCGCGGTGGCACGGCTGATGGCAGTGACGTAAAATTCTGAAGAGGTGGTCGAGCGGCCACTTCAGCATAGCTTAGAGGTGCATTTACCTCGGCACAGGCAACGGGGGTCGGCAACGGTGAAGCGTCACGGGCAGATGGCGGAGCCGCGCAAACTTGCTCCTGTATGGCCTGGCGAAGGTTTGCTGGAAGACGTGACTCTGGTTGGCCGACTGTCGATAGCAGTGATAGCTGACGAGCGACTTCAGCACCAACAAACTCCTTGATCTGCGATAGCAGGGACTCATGGTCAAATGTGGTGGTTATGCTTGAGAGTGTGTCATCCGCGACGTTAGGGCGTAGCGTGCGAAGACGCTGTCGTCGGAGCTCGTTGAAACTCTGACACAACTCGATGAGCTCAGAGACGGTGACAGGGTTCTTCGAGAGCAGCATTTGAAAGGCGTCGTCGGAAATGCCTTTCTTGATGTGTCGTACCTTGTCAGTTTCCGCCATCGTCGGGTCGACACGCCGGCAGAGGTCGAGGATGTCCTCGATGCAGCTAGTGAATGTTTCGCCAGTTTGTTGGGACCGGCTTCGTAGACGTTGTTCTGCGCGAAGTTTGCGCGCACCAGGGCGTCCAAAAACATCTGCGATGCAGGCTTTGAAGGTCGTCCAGGTGGGGATATCCGCCTCATGGTTTATGTACCACAGCTTGGCAACATCCGTTAAATAAAACATCACGGTACCAAGCTTTGTGGGATCGTCCCATTTGTTAGTAGCGCTGGCTCGTTCATAAGATTCCAGCCAATCCTCAACGTCTTTCTCGTCGGTGCCGCTGAAGATGTCGGGTTCTCGCAAGAGCTGGGCTCCGGGACAGCTCCTGCGTGGCGAAGCCGGTGGGGGTGTGAAGACAGCGTCGTCAGGCATGACGGACGGCAGCTTTCGGCTACGCAGTTCTAGGACCGGGGAAGACCGCAGCACTCTCCACCAAAATATAATGTAAATGTAAGGTCAAGAGCGGTATCAGCGTTTGTACAGAAGTAGCAAGAGCTGGCCGGGTGTACGGGCAGCGTCGCAGCAACAACCAGACAGTCTTAGGTCGTGCCTCGCACCAACGTGTCGATGTTGCTTTAGTAGTGGGCATTCGTCTTCACTACAGCTATATTAACATGCAGAGTGGTAGGAACAAGCTGAAGTGGGAAGAGATAGAAGAACAGCTAAGGGAGGAAAGGCCGATGGTATATGGTTTTGTAGAAACACATCTCAGGGACATGGAACAACCTCCTAACAATGCGGACTACGCGTGGGAATATATATATATATATATATATATATATATATATATATATATATATATATATATATATATATATATGAAATAGATGATCAGAGTTTCTTCCGGCTACCGTAATAAAAGTTATAGACTTCGAGAATAGTACAGTATAGGAAACAAAACAATAAATATTTATTTAATCCTAACAGTTTCGGCTGGTGGACCAGCCTTCTTCGGAGGATATATATATATATATATATATATATATATATATATATATATATATATATATATATATATATATATATATATATATGCCAGTAAAGTTACGCTTGCCCAGTATTTTACTCTGCAGCCGAAACATCTCGCGTTTGTGATTGCACCCCTATGGGAGGCTGGTAGTTTCTGTTACGTTGTGATCCCATAACACAAACGTGAATGAACGCGAAAGCATTGATGTAATCAGTGAAATTCCAACGACTCGCAATAGAATGCCCAAAACAGATAGCCGACAGGCATGGATGGTGCACAGTACAGCGTAAGTAAACTCGTCTTGCGTGCGCTGAAGGTTCTTGTCGGAGTTCACACGCTCCGAAAAATCGATTATGGTGCCTTATGCCCTGAACACGATTTGAGTTCATTCCTTCATTAATAGTGAACCAATCACTCGAGATTTTGTGTGGTACAAGCCTGATCCTGTTAGCGTCGGTGTAAGTGCTGCAAACATAAGTGCGCGTACTAGTTAGAACCGTGTATACACGGCATACTACGCTGCGCAGTGAAATGTTTTGTACCGTTCTGATCTGTTCACGTAAGCGGAAATGACGGCTACACGCTTACAAACATCGGAAGACACGTTGCCACAACGCTGTCGTTTCAGGGAGCAGAGCGACGAAAGCTACGAAAATGAAGTAACAAGAACATTTCACGTTTTTGCACCTATTAAATTTTGTAGCGCATATACGCAACGAACAAGCTATTTCTATGTGAGTAGGCGTAGTCTGGTCCTAGGTGCATTTTCGATTGAGACCAAATGATCATTTCTCAAGAACGATTGCCTTGCGCTCGCAGATTGCACAATAAAACATCTACAATTGGAGTACTTCATTGCTATCAAAAGTCGCAGTGCAACTGTAATGTCAACCAAAGTTTCGAGAAAGTCTGCCCGAAAAACAGCGCGTGCGAAATTGTGTTGGCAACGTGCAGCATAACTTATACATAAAATACTCATTGCGCATCAGAAGAATGCTTGGATGCGCGTAGTAAAGTAGAAAATGTAGACTAAACGCCATCAGTGTGCCAGGGCTGCTTGACACATAGAACTTAACATAAATATCATTCCAATAGGCATGCAGTCACAAACATCGACAGTAAAAACTATCTCAGCCAAATAAGCAAAACCGAAATTTAAATATAAGTGTGCAAAAACATACGGCATATAACTTTTATTCCACGTCGTAAGCGCAGCCGTCCTTTACTTGTGAAACACACTTCGACCCGACGAGGACTACGCTATCAACACTTAACAAAGAATTACCATTAACGATGTCTCCTACATACGACCGAGTGGGTCGTCGCAATGATGCGTTTTCGAAGACGTCCATTCAATGGTGCGACGAGAGACCGTTGCTCCAAACGGCCACTGTACTTGTAGTTTACTGTATTTTAGTGCGATTACTTCACATTTACTTACTCTCTTAACAGGCATACACATGGGGAGATGGGGGGAGTCTGATGGCTTTGATATACACGTACACAATCTGCTCAAACTAAAACTACCACCGATAGTCCGCCCCCCCCCCCCCCCCCGAAAAAATTCTGGCTACGGCCCCGACCCTTACCACAGAGCAGTGGGAAGGCACTCTCCGCGACGGTGCTCCCTAGGCCTTCCGGGCGCTCGTTTTGCGGGCCTGGGCTGTCGTAGAGGTTTGTATAGATGTCCCAGAATAGCAATCCTCGCTGTTTTCTTTAAATTTGAATAATAAAACGTTTTCATTCAATGGAACACCTCCAAACATGCCGCGCACTCCGAGAGACAGTAGTGCGAAAGGAGGAGCCATCGCCGCTGTCATGGCCGCGCCGAGACAGGTGCCGACGCGACTGTGCGCCACAGCGCCAGAGCACATAGGGTACACGAACGGCGCAGAATCAGAATTTGGGCAGCGGCACAGTCTTCTACATGCTGGCCGAGCGAAACATGCTGCATCAGTGACAGTTATCTCTTGAAGAAGAGCCGCCTCATTTTGCGATCGCTATTTGTTTCCTGTTTTCTTTCAACTTCAAACACCTGTTACTAAGGCAACATGACATTGCAATAAAACTTTTTTTTGCGGCCTGATAGCGCTTGACTTGTCAACGGCCGCTAGATAGTAGCGACAGCAGCAATATAGCTTCTCACTTCCTCAAACGGCCACTCACTGTGTGTGTGTTGCCACGTTTCTCTGTGTGGCTCACCGATTCACGCTCGTGAGAAGTTGAGTACACACTCAAGTTTATACTCATGGCTATACTCACACTGATGAGTTCTCACTCACGTTCATACTCACGCGTACTAGATTACACTCACGTTCCCTCAAATTCATGAGTACTCATGCACACTCAACACGTTCAAATGAGTGTGAGTGAGTGTGCTCATGAATATGTGTGCCTATAGCTGTTGTAACTTCGTCTTCACCAACGTAGCAGACGAAGTTCATCATCATTGCGAGTGCTCTTCACGAGCTGCCGCTCACTCGAGGACACAAATCCATCAGTTTTTTTTCTAATCATTTTTCCATTAAAAAGCGTTGCTTTCGGACGTGCCGTCTCCTGTTACTGCACGACAGCAAGGTAGCCGGCGTACCTAGAGGTCCATTACAAGGTGCCGAAACCGAACGGGATCGTCGAAACTACGCCAACCTCATCGATTCAAGTTGTCGCTCTGTGACCCCTTAAACTTTGGCGTAGAGTTCCCGGCTGCCGACTGAACCATATAGAATGGCTACTCCGACAACGCAAGTGCCTCCACTCGCAACTGGATGCTGTTATACAAGAAGCGGAAGGCCTCCTTCGGGAACAAGGGCTGTCGTCGCCACAGGTGAGCATTTCAATTGACCGAGTTAACGGGATATACGGAAAGACAACGAATATCGATGACAGCATACTAGATGAGACTCCCGACGAGCTGATCTACACAGAAATGATGGACGCGATCAGTTACGGGGACAAGATTCTGACGCTGATGTCAAAGCTTCTTTGCTATTCAGAACGATCGTGCATCGCAAGTATCGCGCCCGACGACGAGCCAGGCTCTCGTCGGTGTCTGGTCGGGACTGCCGCAACTACGGCTACAGAAATTTGATGGCAATTGACAGCAATGTCATCGATTTTGGATTCAGTTCTCCCCGGCAGTACATAACAATGACTACCTTAGCGCTGCCGACAACTTTACCTACTTGAGCACGCTTGTCACTGCACCTGCCGCCACAGCCATATCCAGACTTCAAGCATTGGGCTAGTGCTATGAAGATGCAGTGGATATCCTCAAAAGGCGCTTCGGAGACGAGATGATTTTTGTACAGCAACATCTTTGAAGTCTCTTAGATCTCCAGCCAGTTTTGTCGTATTCAAACACCACCAAAGTTCGAGAACTCTATTACGAGGTTTAAGCCCACGTAAGGAGTCTGAAAGCGCTTGGAACAAGCCCTTCCATATACTCCTCCATGCTACGGGAGATTCTCTTAAGTGTCACGACATCAGACTTAGTTCTGAAGTTTCAGGAGAGTCACAAGACGACGACAACAATCGCTGCGGTGTCCACGATGCAAGCGCAAAGGGACTCAGAAAGAGCTACAAAATCAGAAAAGAGCTACAAAATCTGCTGGACTTTCTCGAACATTGGCTTCACTGCCGAGAAACTCTCGCGGCATATACGACACCAAGAAGGCCAGAAATACGTCAGAACACTGGAGAGATGTCGAGACGAGTTGGGAATCATACCATGCCATCGACAGCGTGTCTGCAAAGTGTTTTGGGGGAGCCCGACCTATGTCTGTTTTGCGAATTATCAACGCATTGTGCGGAGGTCTGCGACAGCAAAATGAGGTTCACAGAAAAGAAAGAAATGCTCAGCAAAACAGAGCGACGTATTCGATGTTTGAAGCAAAGACATAGGGCAAGGTATTGTAGAGGAAACCAAAAATGCGACAGATGTTCTCGACGACATGTAACATTCAGGTGTGACCCAGATTTCAGGAAGAAGGCAGAAGAAACCACAGTGACAGCAGTCAACCTCCTGTCGGAACAAGTAAACATCAACGACCGGCTCGTTGCGTACATCGACAGAGTGCGCGAGTTGGAACCCGAGAACAGCAGGCTCACGAAGCAGATTGAAACGAGCCAGGAGATCCACACTCGCGATATGACCAGCGTCAAGAGTCTTTACGAAAGAGAACTGGCTGAAGCCCGGCGGGACGTTGATGACACGACCAATGAAAGAGCCAGGCTTCAGCTGGAAGCGAAAAAATGGCAAACCAATACTGAGGCTCCGCAGGCAAAGCTGAACAAAAGGGAGCGTGTGTGGTCCACAGCAGGGCGACGTGCGACAACTTTGGAGTCTCTGGTTCTCGACCATCAGGGACGCCTGAACCAGGCTTTGACACAGCTTAAGGATGCCGAGAATCAGCGGGATGCCCTGGCAAAAGAACTCGAGCGAGTCAATAAGGAATTGCAAGATCAGATCCTGCATTGCACAGGCCTCAGCAACCAAGCCAAGCGGCTGATTGAGCAGCTGGACGTACAGAAGTCCTTTGATGAAAAGGAACTGGAGGATATGCGCGTTGTCAAACAGACCGAGATCACAGAAATCGATGGGCGTCTGAAGGAGAACTTTTAGCGCAAACTGGCCGACACGCTGCAGGAACTTCACGAGCAGTATGAATCGCAGATGCAGCAGAACCGGGAGAAAATGCAGAGCATCTACGAGACCAATATGCGTGACCCCCAGAAACAGTTGGACCGACGCTAGTCGGACTCTCCTATCCCACGTTATGAGCTGTACACCTACAAGACTTGCCTGGACGATGTGAAATCTCGCATCGCTGAGCTAGAGTCTCTGAACCAGTCCCTGTCGTCCTGTGTGTGGGACTTGGACCAAGTGCTGAAAGAGCGTGACTGGAACACCCGAGCGATGATGACAAAGGATGATGAAAGCGAAGACCTGCTGAACCGCCTCTTTCAGAAGCGAGAAGACTTTCAAACCTTTCGGAAATGTTGGCAGAAGGAATATCTAGACGCACTGGGAAACTTCGTCGTCAACAAAGCTAAACGCACTGAATTGCTGATGGAAGGAAAGTTAGTTTTTATCGGAGACAAAAAAATACCCTCCGCAAGTTTGGGTGATGACAACACTAAGATACTTGCATAACGGACGCGATGTGAAAGTTCGCTCCTGTTCCCTGCAGTTTTCGGGCAGCTGAAATCAACCACCCTGTACAAATGCTCTACACACTGCAAGTAGAGTGACGCCATCAGTTGGGCCTGGGAAAATGTTGTAACTTCGTTTTCACCAACGGAGCAGCGGACGTTCATCATCATCGCGAGTGCTCCTCTCGAGCTACCGCCCACTCGAGGGCACGAATTCATCCGTTTTTTCTATTCATTGTTCCAAAAAAGAGCGTTCCTTTCGGACGTGCCATCTTTCGTTCCTGCACGACATCCAGGTAGCCGGTGGACCTCGAGGTCAATTACAATAGCTGTGCTCATGAGTTCAAGACGAGACCTACGCGAAACGTTGTAGAGGCGCAACTTCGCCACAGATATCAGAGTCAGCCCAGGTGGAGCTGTGAAAAACGCCGCGACCAGCACCCTCATCGCCACACTGCGGATGATTGGGTAGAGTAAAGCAAGCCGCCCGCAGGTGAACGTGCATAGGCCCTTCTCTTTCGTTGCCGTTGAAGTGTGCAAGCCGTCCGCAAGTGAACGTGCATAGGCCCTTCTCTCTCGTTGCTGTTGAAGTGTGATTTCCTTAAAATAAAGGACCTGACAAGCTTCTTCCATCAATCCAACCAAGTTTCACAAAAATAGTAGCTAATCAAAGTGAACTGCAGGTGCAATACAAAACATGCTTACGTTATTTCGGCGTGCTGCAACTCTCAATTTAAGTGCAAACGAGCATCGCATGATATCGAGTTCAAGGCAAGCACTTCGACGTGCGTTCGGTAACACCTAAATGCGTATGTTTGGCATACACGTGTTGCCAAAGCGATGCAGGAGCAATGTATCTTATATGAGTTGTACGAAGCTCGCTTTATTCGCCATGAATGAGCCCGGTGAGTTTCGCATTTGCAGTTGCATTCTACATCTATTTCTCACTTCGTGTGCGTTGACCTGTTTTATTACACATGTGGAGAATGCTCTGTTGACGGCTGATTTCCGTCACTGCAAATGGGAATATATGCGTGTTCATTTTCTAAGTGTACAACGAAAGGCATAGCTGAAACCTCCGAGATAGCTGCGGCAATCGCGGAGACCAACGGCAATGTCTATCGCGCGCGTCGCCAGCCTACTGTTGCACTGAGTACATCGTGGTCAGAGGCTCTGTTGAGCTTCATAATCAATGTTACCATGGTTTTCTGTCAAGGGTACTCAAAACCATAACAGGAGACCTACATTATCACACTTTCTCATGCCACCAGCCGTGGAGAACGTGAGTAATTCGCTTACCCAACATGTTCGACAAGGGCCGTATCCAGCGTTCTCATGGTTCTGCTTCGGGACAGCCACGGAAATCAGTAAAACTGAGGTGCTTTTCGTCCGTGGCAATTTACAACACAACTAGCGTCAACTGAGGTATTTCTTCTTAGGGCGCGGAGCTGTTGCGTCTGCGCTTTATTTCGCCGTCGTTCTGGCGAGTGAGCCAAAAAGCACGCCATTGCGTTTTGGTTACGCGTCTCACTAGCGGAGAGAAATTTGTAGCTCTTTTTGTCAGAATTCAATGCACAACCATACCTAATATTTAGCTCAATTTGTGTTTCGCCCGCGGTACTCGCACTTGGTTGTGCAGCAAAGTGTGCAAGGGAGTAGAGCTTTGCACAATCCTAGACTGTGCCGACAGGTGCCCCTATGGACAAATTCCACCGGCCTTACGTCACGAAAATGCGGTGGCGCTGTCTTGGTAGGCAAAAGACGCTCTGCCTACCTCAATCTCTGCTGCGTTTTCAATAGTGCATGTGGAGAGAAACGAGAAAAGTCAAGAAGTCAAGAAACGAGAAAAAATTGGCCCCGTATCTGCATGTAATCTGCAAATGTCGTCGAAAGACGATAGTTTGGCGTGTGGAGAGAGTGAACAAAACATATATTTCATGTTCTGCGCAAGAAAATCGGTGAATGGTATTCCGGAGGCGCTGCGTTAGGGTGCATCGAGCGTGCCGTGGAGGCGAACGAGCGCATCAAGTCACACCACACGTGAGGCATGAGCGCCATCTGGCAGTTTTTTTTTTCGAAAACAAAGCGCGTGGCCCTGAGATGCACGTGCGCACCCGTCTCAGAGAACGCAAGGAGACGGGTAGGGGCCACCACCGTGTCTTCTTAGCAAAGTGTTGGAAACACTCGCCTTTCCATGGAAGCGTTGCATAGTCAGCGCAGTGTGATAAGCGCTACGGTCCTTAAAATTAGTTATGCATGCCTTTTATAGTAAAAGATGAACATGCAGAATATATACGTGTTGTTATGGTGCCTCAGATATGCGCAGTAATTGCTTTTTCATTGACAATCGCCCACATATGAACGCTGATTCTTGAGCAACATTGGTGGGCGGTGCGGAGGGGGTCGGCCGTTCAGGGTATCGAAGGGTGCTGTTTAGAGTAACCGGTTAGCGGTAACGGTGGACAAACAGACAATTGTACAGACAGACATACATACCAAAGTTTTTGCGTCTAAGGTCCACAAGAAAGACTGTCGTCTTTAAAAAAACGGTATGCCGACGAGCGGCGTCGTGGTTGGATGTGAGTCGTGTCTCACAACTTAGTTTCGTTTGTTGGCACACATCGCAGCCCTCAGCGTTTATGGCGTCTCACAAGGTCATTTTGTTGACGCACATCGCAGTTTTCAGCGCTTACGGCGGAAGTTACGTGCGGGCGTTGCTATAATTTTACCCATTATGTCAACATTGGCTTACCTGTGTTTACCAACATAGAATGGGCGTATATATACATGTCTGCAAAACTCCAGAGTCTGGCGTCTATATCTTTCTTTACCAGCTTCGGTGGCAGAGATATACGGGAGCAAAGGTTTATTGAAACGGGGCTCAAATTTTATCACAATTCGACTTAGTTCATGAGTTCCCAGCTGACAGAAGCTTACGCTTTCTTGACATCAACCTTTTATTCTGTGAGCAACATGCATACGAAATTATAAGTACGCGTTCTTCTTAATCGGTTGAGATTCGCCCGCCAGCAATATTTTTCGTTGTTCACATTCAAACAGGTAATGAGACTAAATTCACTAAATCGCATTTGTGGTTCCTATAATAAGCGAGCCGTGAAAAACCGACCAATTACAACAAGCAGCGCAGCAGTTTTGGGCCAATTGTTTCCCATATCTAAAGGAGAACCCGAGAAACACAGAGATGCGCGGTGGTCATGCAGTCCCATCGGAGAGCAGCGCTGTCAAACAGGCACGGTGGGCAGCGCTCGTAAGATGAGGAATGAAATAGGAATAATTGTGCGTGAACGCTACTACTGTGTATCTGCCACGACAATTGCAGACAGCGTCGCCGACATGAAATCGTACACCATTAGGCTAATGCGTGCATTATTTTGTCCAATGGGGCAATACGAGTAAATCTCAGTTTCCATACGCTGTCACTCGAACACATGATATTAATATCTGGAGTTTTACGTCCCGAAATTGCGACATGATTGTCAGACACACCGTTTGTGCAGGGCTGCAGAAATTTTGACCACCTGGTGTTCTTTACCGTGCGTTGACATCGCTCAGCAGACGGGCCTCAACCATTTCAAGCCCACCGTATTGTGACATTCTGGTCAGCAGCAGAGTACTGTAGTCACTGATGCACCATGGCGGACTACAAGAAGACATGCAAGACACATATGTGTGATTGATTTCAATCAAGAAGGAGGTGCCTGCCGGGTGACAGAAGAAGGAGACGCTGTAATTTGTTTTTGACTCATCCCGTTCTCTCATCGCTGAACTTTTACCGTTTTCACTAGGTAAATAAGTGTGCGAAAAGTGTCAGTAAATCTGCTTGCTTTCATTCTCAGAACTTGCGAGTATCATTTCAGGAAGCCAGAGACTGTCATGCTGCCAAACGAAGTCCGGGGCTGACGCAACCCTTATGTCTCAACAACGGACGCCTGCGGTAAGGTGGAGATAAACCTTGGACGCAATACATACATACATACATACATACATACATACATACATACATACATACATACATACATACATACATACATACATACATACATACATACATACATACATACATACATACATACATACATACATACATACATACATACATACATACATACATACATACATACATACATACTTACTTACGTACTTACTTACTTACTTACTTACATGTACATACATACATACATACATACATACATACATACATACATACATACATACATACATACATACATACATACATACATACATACATACGCACGCTATCTGAACGAAATAGTGCAGTCCAGGGCTATGAAGCAGCCACTAAGGATGCAAAAAAAAAAAGCAGGCACTCCATCAGTCAAACACAAGTGGGTGGATCCCGGTGAAAACAAGCATCGCAATGATGCTTAACTGTACATTGTGTGGGGCTAGTTGGTACCTATTAGGCTGAAATACATGACGCAAGGTTGC